GACTGCTGTAGCTGAACCCAGGACAAAAACACAATTTAATGGCCAGTAAGTGTTACCTTAAGGATGGTATAGAAGCATAATTTAAGTTTCTGTGACTGGATTTATGTTCTCTCTGCAATGATAAGAGAATATTGTGGAAACCCCACACTAGCTGGTTAATACATCTTTACTTTGAATGTCAAGTGCAGTTTGGAAAGGTTTGACATTGAAAAAGATCAGCAGAAATTCAAAAGGTACATGGAATTCATGAGTCACTAGAGGTTACAGCAAACCCTCCAATTCTAATGGGTAGGTGCCAAGTCAGTCATGCTGTATGGTTTTCATTCTTCACTAAGAGATACTCTGATTTGTAAAATTTGATTTGCACAACCATAAGGAAGGAATCTCCAGAGAGGAGGCCAGAAGCTCATTAGATAGACAACACAGGGCTAACAGAGAGAATATCACTTAAACCTTAACCTACTTCCTGACCATATCATGCATCTCATTTGCATGGCAAGAACCATTTATTAAACTATACTACCCTTTCCATAGTTTGGAAGGCTTTTCCTTTCTTAGTTGGCAAAAAGCAGTTAATTTGTTACAGCACTCAGAAAACAAAACCAGCGCTACCACGTGCTGCACATCTGAGCAGAGCTATCTTTTCATATATATTGGTTAATCAGTTTTAGGGTGAGGTAGCAGCATCAGAGGTCATAATTCAAGCAACTTACTAGAGATAATGTGGGCAGCAACCCACACATATTGTCTTGAAGTGCTACCAGAATCCTAAAAGAAGAATTTTTCACCCAGTGTGTAGATTTCTGGTGAGCAGAATCTACCATGAGAGGGAGGGGGAGAGGGGAAAAAGTGCAGGGAGAAAAGTGGAAGGTAAGCATCATAATATGTATGGGGGAGAAATGAGGTAAGCATTGTGGGACATAGAGGCAAAAGACCAGCGCTCTGCCAGTCTATCATATAAAGTGGAGAAGAATACAGAGAAAGAAACACTTGTATATATGGAGAGTGGAAACAAAATCCATGCTGGATGGGTAACTGATTTTATTTTGTTCAACTGCTTTATTCTTATGTTGCTTCCATACAACATGAAGCACATGATTACTAAGCAGAACTGTCCGGTTTGCCATACCTTTCTCACAGTAAGGTTCCCCATCCTCCATGTGAAAGAGGCTATTCCCAAACGGCATCTTACAAGCTGCACAGACAAAGCAACTTGTGTGCCAAGTCTGTCTCAGGGCATGCATCACTTCCTGTAAAGCAAACAAACAAACAGAAATCTTCAGTGGAATACCATGTCCTGTAACTACCTACTGGAGAACAAACACAAAGCAGAGATGCTCTAAATTTTTCCCAATTCCCCCCCTCAAAAGAAAGAAGTATGACAGAAATTGGGCTCCTTTGGAAAGAAAGAGGAAGTAGGACTGCAAACTTTCTGGAACAACATATTTGCCAAAATGAAACAACATAGTTCAGCCAGCTGTTTGTATCAACATGCCCAGTCGCTGTTGTAGGAGAGATTTTGCACAAAGACTCTGATTATTTTCTCCTTTGTTTTGACACAACTACTGTGAACTCTTCAATGCAAGAGTATGATTTGTTAAATGAATTTTAAAGCATAATTTTCTTTCCGAGACCATAAAATGCATGGAAGGGATAATATTTTAATTCTGATGTTTCAAAGTAACTTATGAACTGATTTCTGTAAGCCTCTCAGAAGAATGCTTCACAAACTAATGTGAAAATCTAAAAAAAATTTAAAAATTACATTCTTAGATTTTAATGTATGTGATCAGTGGAAGTGAGTCTGTGTTGTCTGTTCCTAGGCCATGTGCTCATCGCAAGAAAACAAATCTTGTGCAACTGATGTTCTCGCTTCTATCCAGTATGGATCAATGTTTATTACTGCTTCATTCTTATCTTGTTGTACAGAAGCCCTCCAAGTCCAAAAACTGCTGTCCTGAGCTCTACTGACTTGTTAATCTTACTCGTGCCCCAGATACTGTACGACAATGTATCTCTGCCAAACAGTCGAGATTTCAAAGGGCTCCATAACAGATGTAAATTTAACTTTGTTAACTTCAGTGAAACAGCACAGATTTACACCAGCTGAGAATCTAGATCCTGTTTTATGTTGCTTCCAGCTATATACCTAGACTCTGATTCTCTTTTAAAGATTACTTTTAATCTCCATTGGCTATGACAAAAGGGATTGACGTTCCTCTTCCATCCACTGAATAGACAAAATAGTCTAATTTATGTTTGCCGTATATCTCATTAGAGAATCACCATTTGAGATTCATTAACTTCTGTTACTGTTTGCAAACAACTATCCCTGACAAATAGGTTTGGATCCATTTATGAACCTCACTGAGCTAAGAAACAAGAAACAGATTAAGAAATCTTATTGCTATAAATAGAGGCAGCTGGCATCTTTGCTGTTTTCCTGATGAAAATCCGTAATGGGTAACTGATTTGTTCCAGCATTAATTAGGTGAGTTAAGTCAGTACTCTGCTGTAAAATTATGCCTACTACTGCAGCAGCAGCAAACAAGAGTTGGTTGGAGACAGAGCTTCACCATAGATGTCTGAGGCTGCCATTCCTAATTGGCAATTGCAGAGAAAAGCATCTAGTCTGTCAATGCCAACATTTAGACATACGTCAAAAGGTGGCAGCTAAGCAGTGAAAAACCACTGTGGTACTACTTGCTTCCTTGTTTAGGAGAATCATGTCATATATTCTCTATAACTGCAGGCATAAATACACTGCTAAAATTATCTTATGGTATTCCAACCTCATCACCATCTAAGGTCTATATAGAACAAATTTACTTGTACCTAAGCATGAGTACATTAAGACAAAATTGGTGTCTGGTTTTGCCTTTCTGGAATTCAGATCTTTGTATTTATTCTGTATTTTCTTCACTATAAGAAGCCAACTGTGTTGCTAGCTATCAGTGAGGCGCGGCAAGAGCAGTGGACCTCTTCCCAATATCACTGACTTTTCCATTGAAATTTAGACTAAGTCCTGTATAAGAAAAACCAGTTTGAGTCTCTGACTATAAATACAAGGAAAAGATAGATAAAAGTAACAGTGTGTATCAGATAGCAAAGAACTATCCAGGAAGTGTTACTTAGTTTACACTCAGTGAGATGGTAGCTAGATTACATAGTCTGTCTATAAGTTGAATATAGTACAGAAATATCCAAGAATTTGGATAGATAAAAGTTACTGTAAAACAATGTTTCTCATTCTGAAATAATCAAAAGGCTGGGAAATTATTATTAAATGGGGGGAAATAATTAAATATCCACATTCACTACTCACAGTCTAAACTATTTCATTATTTCAGTGAATCATGCAGTTAGAGAAAGGGTTAAGCTTGTTCTCTTACCCCCATGATCTTAGCGTGGCATCTGGCACAGGTTGGTGCAAAGAACTGTTCGTAACAGCGCTCACAGTACACACTATTCTGCTCTTCCACAAAGCACATATCAGCCAAGGATGTCTTGCAGTAAGCGCAGTTGAATTCTTCTGGGTGCCAAGAGCGACCCATGGCTACCAGGAAAGGACCCCTGTAAACAATTGTAATTATCTTAATAGATAAAAAAAGATCAAATGACCCTGATTAAAACCCCTCTTTGTTAGATACCATATACAACAAGCATTCTACTTAAACCATGAAGGTGCATATTAGAATAAGATCCAAAAGCCTGACCAAAAATGGTCTTTTTCAAGATCCTTACTCACACACTTTGCCAACTGGTAAAAATTTTTCATTACTATTTAGTCATATTGATTGGATTTAACAGACAACTATTGGAAAACCCAATTGTTTTCGTATTTGCATATTTGTAAAGAGTTGCAAAGACAACAGGAAAAGGCCAAGGGTTGTAACACAGAAGATAATGCTACTATTTGAAAGCATGAAAAAGCAGGCAAATTTCCAAACAAACACACCCACATCTCACAATAGCTCCTCAAGTCTCCTGCCTTCTTTTCATCTGAGAGAGCACTGCATGTAGCATGTTCGAGAAATGTAAGACTATCAGATGACAACTTGCTGTTTCATTATACTGAAGACACATTAAATTCATTTTGGTGATTTACTCTTGATTGTATTTAGATATAGCGATTATTACTGGAATCTTTGGATTTCAGAATATGTAACGGGCAATAATCAGCAGTTCCACACCACCAAACTAGCTCCTTTTAGTGGGGGGAGACTGTCATTAAACATGGATTACTTAAAGTTGGTTAGCAGTCTACAGGGTAACAACAGGCACTGGTCCAGCAGAATGAATTGGGAAAGGAGAAGGGAGAGGCATGCTATGAATCACTGGTAATAGAGCGTAGGCATTATCTTTCTCCAGACACAAAAGCAACAATTACATTTGGCTGCTGTTCTAAAATGATGTCTTCTTCCCTTTCTCTCCATAACCCTCCCCCTCAGCCCCCAAACCCTCCCAATGCAGCTGTATATACCTCCTTCAAGGGGTACCTTAGGACCAGAAACTTGTTTAAAAAACAAACAGCAGTCTGCCACAGCATCCAAGAAACAAACAATTAGCATGTATAACTTTGCAATGATAAAAAGTGAACCACAGAATAGCAAAATGAGCTCTGGAAATGTTAAATTAATGAAGCAGAAAACAGACATCCCTGCTGGGCAATTTGACTGAGTCTTAGGCTCTGCTACTGTATATTAATGTACAATAACCAGTGTCTCTGATATTTTTTTTTCTGCTTCATCCCTTTTCAAAACCTCATGACCTTACCGAATTATACTGTTACAGTGCCCACAGAGAGGAGTTCGGCTGCTGGCTGGAAAACGCTCAGCCCTCTGAACTGTTCCTCGAGCAGGAGCCTGGGAAGAAGTTGAAACTGGAGATGGGTAAGCAGAAGTTGAGGCAGGAGATGGTACTGGAGGACCCCTTGGTAGGATGTGCTTTGTAACAGTGGTGGTGGTTTTTCCAGGTGCAAATTTCTGGGAAAAGGAGTCATCTGTTACCCAGGGAGGGCGACTTGCAGGCTCAGTGTTGGCAGGGGTGTAGGAATGAACTGGTGCCGGTGCTGCTTTAAGTATCCCAAAAGAAACCAAGAAATATTTTAAAGTCTTTTATTCTGATGGCAAAACAGCAACACTTACCAACATGTACTCATAAAAAAGCAACACATAAGGAATAAAAGCTACAGGTGGCTCTTAATTATGATCTGTCCCATATTGCTCATTAATTCTGGACTGAAGCCGAGGACATCAGCACAGTCACTGACTTCTAATCCACATGCATTACAGAAGTCATTGTCTACTGTTTTTTACAGATTTTATGGAGACCATTTTCAAGAACATCTCTTCATTTTCTAGTAGGAATGGATATGACAATTCTGTGATAATTTCAAAGACTGCCATATAACCTATTTAAGATAAGTTAAAAATAGAAAGGCCAGGTGATGTAATAAAGTTTCAGATGGAATTCCCTGCAATTTTCAGTAAGAAGTTACGCTTAAATTCTATTCATTAAAATGCAGCATTTGCCACAGATGTCACTATTATCCATCATTTGTAGGTTTTACTCCTAGGTTTCTGAAGAAACACAGGCTCACACAAGGAACACAGAGAGTACTAGAAGCAATATTGAGGGAGCCAGTTTCAGCTCACATGACCAGCAAGAAAAAGCCAAAAGCACTTAGAGGAAGGCCAGATTTGCGGTTAATGACTGACCTCTGTTCAGTGCTTCGCTTTGCCACAGACTTCCTGTATAACTTTGGGCAACGCGTAGTACCTCTGTGCCTCAGTTCCCATGTGTGAAATGGAAATGTTACACTTCCTTTCTTCCACCCTTTGACTATCATACAAAATCTTAGTGCAGACTGCCTCTGTGTTTGAATGCACCAGGCTCTAATCTTGGGTAGAGTTTTATCACATAAAAATCAGCAGAAGCTAGAGCCTGAACATACCAAAAAGTTTTCCCATTGTCCTGCTCTTTTTGAAATGTCAGATCTTGCAGCGACTGAAGTCACTGCCCAAGAAACTGCCTTGCTTTGCCAAGTACAGGAGCACTAAAAGCAGTTTTCCCTTTGCAAGGAAAACAAAGTAGATGATTGTTGGTTTGTGTGAGGAGGAACAGAAGCTTGGAGAGTTGAAATGTTTTGACCAAATGAGAGAGCACAGATTTGGGGACAGAAGTCAGTTCTCCTGCTGTCTAGTCAAACACTCTGCCTAGTAGATCACAGTGCCAATAAAATGATGACCAAATACAACATTTACAGTTTTAAAGAGCTTGCAGGTATAAAGGTATTTCAGTCAAGAAGGTTCTGACTGCAACATGGATCTTTCTGCACAATTAAGTGGTGAGAAGATTGTTCTACTTAACACTCCTCCCTTAGCACACACCCAGCCACACAGAATAACATACACTGATTATTGGCAATTACAGGTACTTAAACTGCATATATATCAATCCACTGTGATCACCCCAGTGATCTCTGATTTTCTTCTTTTTGCTGAGTTCAGAGTCAAAGCTAACGCATCTTCTTGATGGAATTTTCTTATGCTACAGTATCAACAAAATTTCTGCTTCATAAAACTGTATCCCACCTTAGCTTCAGGCTTCTTTTTCAACTTGGGTATGGTAAACAGTGTTTAAAGATTTCAGAACCGAGTTTATATGCAATCTCTTTAAATCCTGAGGCTGTTCCTATTTATGTATTAAGGTATTAAGCTAGGCAAAATTAGAAGGCAATATTTCATCTCTAATTGGTGAGTTCAAAAGGCTCGCACCTATGAGGCTCTCTAATTAAATAAGGTATCTTCTAGCTCATTCAGTTTTGTGAAAGGCTTCTCCCTCCCCCAAGAGCCAGTTCTTGTTCATGCAAAGAACAGCAGTGTATCCCACAGGGGGCCAAACAAAATGGCGAGATGTTCGAACCCAGAGTTCATGAAGTGAAGAACAAATGCAGAGCAGGTACCATTCTTAGGATGCCTTTTTCTGTGACTGTCTTTCATAAATGCTTACAACCTCTTAGCTTTTCACTTTTTCTTCCTTAATCTCACGATGACAGTGTTTTATTTTTCCAGTTTGTTTATTCCAACCAATGTAGACAGCATATGATTTATCTGGGTTTGGATTAATCTAGACTCCTTTGAAGGATAAACACTCAGGAAGTGTTCATTCTCTCTACCTTTTATTTCTTTTTACTCTATCTTTTCTACTTGCTGCAGTCAAATAAAGCAGAAAAATATTTTTTTCCAGTTGCTGAAAGAAGATACCAGGGGAATTATTGCAAAATGACAAATATTGGGTGTTTGTAACTGCTCTGAGTTCTCTTTTCAGCCATTCTAATTTGTTTTTACAGGCTGGATTTATTCTTCCCCATGAATAGGCGGGAATTACTATTATTTAAAATAATGTTATTGCAATGTATTCAAGGGTTTCAGTAACTTTGAGATTTTAGCTATTGTTAATAAGAGGGAGTTGTTATTATTGTAAAACTATAATCCTAAGCTTATATGAACAACTCTCTTGTCTTAGTAGCTTCTGCAATACAAATTTACCTTGTATGTTTGTGTATTTCAAAGTCTTCCAACATATATGCAGCAGATAAAAAGGTTCTGTTTGCTAGTAAAATGTACTAAGATTCAGTACATAAGAGAACAGAGCCTCAAAATATCAGTACTGTATGAGCAGACCCTCGACTGTTCAAAAATGAACACTTCAAATAATTCCGTAACCCAGCCTCTATCGCCTTGTTTCACTCAGTCCTCAGACTCTCTTAGAGTAGGAGAGAAAGAATGGGACTACTGTTATCGTGAAAGAATGGCAGAAGAGGTTTCTCTTAACAGCAGCAGGAGCAAGCCAGTTCCTTGATTCTGGGGAATTTGGAATTCTCCCCATCAGCTCTTCATTTGTGGTCAGTGGATATCTTCCCTCCAGAAAAGAAGGTGTGTTACCAAAGATTCATCTGATAAAGATTCAGATAGTCAAATACTTTAGTCTTACATAATAGCTCACACTGTGAAAACAATTTCCCTTTTCTGTTTTCCTCTGTTAGTGGAACACGTAATGGTTATTCTTAATTTTCCACTAACAAATGTAATTCATAATCACAACTGATTTGGCTTGTTCTATACGTAGTGGCCATGTCCTTGAAGCCCCACATTTTCTTATATACTGCTCCAGTACATAGTAGATGACATAAAGCAGATAATGCAACATGAAGTTCAGGTTAGATATAAGGAAGAAGTTCTTTCCTGTGAGGGTGCTGAGGCACTGGAACAGGTTGCCCAAAGGCATGGTAAATGCTCCATCCCTGGCAGTGTTCAAGGCCAGGTTGAACAGAGCCTTGGGTGACATGGTCTAGGATGAGATGTCCCTGCCTATGGCAGGGGGGTTGGAACTAGATGATCTTAAGGCTCTTTCCAAACCATTCTATGATTCTATGTCCTCTATATTCTTATTTAGAGGAATTTAAAATGGAAAATCATAGAATCATAGAATCAACTCAGTTGTAAATGACCTTTAAGATCATCAACTCCACCCATTCCCCAGCACTGCCAAGGCCACCACTAACCCATGTCTACACGGTGTGTGAACACTTGCAGGGACGGTGACTCCACCACTGCTGGTATGTAACTTGCTGTTTTAGTATTGAAGGTGCTCAGGATTCAGTGAAAAGTTCATCTGAGATCTATGGGAAATTTTCTACCAATTTCTAAAACAGCGGATCAGGCCTTTACACTTGAGCACTTTCACATACATGAGTAGCCCTATTTGGACTCAGGACTTAAAAGGAAAGATTTGCTTTCTTACTTTTAGGTATCATGTTACTTTGTAGTACAACACTGGCATTTGAGTTGCTTAGACTAGCTGAAAGCACTATTCTAGGCTCGGACAGCTTACAAGAAAGGAAACACAAGTATTTTTCTGCCATCTAGTGGAGCTTGTTCAGAAAAGAAGTATGGTCCTTTTAAAAACTGATTGAGAAGGGAAAAGAATTTGGAGTTCAGAGTTTTCCCTATAGGAAGAAAACGCAGATTTTTAGTAGCAGCAAACTCCTACCAGCGTTAGGTTAGTCAAAGTAGCACTTTTCCTTCGCTTTAAAGCGTAGACTTACTGATTACTCAGATCTAAGCAAGATACTTACAAATGCAATTTCATTTTGAGATTGTTTTCAGTAGAAACAAAATTTAGCCACATTTATTTATTTATTTATTTATTTATTTTCAATCTGATACAGGTTAAAATAGTCCTGTAAATTCTCCTAGTGATTGATTCAGAGTCTGGATATTGCATGTATGAGACTGCTGGTGCGTGGTTTAATCTGGAAGCTGCTGATCCACATTTGTAAGGGAAGCTAGTCATTTCATTCCCATTAACACTGATAGCTAGCACAAAGACATTCCCCTTCTAAATTCTGCATTGCAAATCCTCAGAGTAATCTCCACTATTTTGGCCTTTACACAGTGGATTTTTAAAAACAGAAGTCTAAGAAATTATTTGATAAGTGAGAGTATAGTATTGCAAAAGCCTGAGGTTATATTTAGATTGGAAAAAAATACTTATTTTGTGATCTCATATGTCATAATTTGAGAATAGATGGTCTCTCAGTTTGAGGCTGCATTTTATCTTGCTGGACCAAATTTATGTGCATTGACAAAGTTGAGTGAAGAAGTTTTATAGCTGTCTTGGTGGCTTTTTCCAAAGTACTATTGAACTTTCCCATCTGCAACAGGAAATGCCATTTCCTCCATTTCTTCCCAAGTGACAATTTCCTGTTTGCTCAGGACTGCAACTGCAACCGTCTCTAGGGCCAGCTCATGTTCCAAAACCAGTATGAAGTGCTGCTACATCAAATACATAAAACTTTAAAAATGTACCAAAAGAAAACCCAAGCATCTTTAATAAAATCCTTGTCTGGAATCTCTTTTGTACCTGAATCACTTTGGGGTTCATTTACAAAGGTATTTTAGAATCCTTTATTGGATATTTCAAAGTCCTGAACGATATAGGGAGACTAAGTGTTTCTTTCTCTGCCAATCTTAATGCTATTTGAATTTTGTCTTTGTAATATATCACATTAGGTATTATTCTGAATTTTCTTCTGCCCTCTAAAGTACACTATATCTTTGCAGTGCCTGCAAAATAAGAATTTTCCACATCCAGTCACACAATATATACAGCAGAAGTAAATTTGCTATATAAATACTGCTACAGAACAGAGTTTCCATACTGTGTATTTTAAGCCTTTATTGGCAGTGGGTCTCAAAACCAGCAATATAAGGAATTGCAAAGAAGATGCCCCTCACAGAAGAAAAGAAAAACATTGTCTCTTATTCCAAGTCTAATTCAACAGCCAGCTTTTACTTTAGCACATACAGCTACTAATTTGATACAGCTACTGATTTATTTCTGTGGCAGGTTTGCATATTGAGAACTGGAGTTTGTAATTCCCTCAAATGAGCATGGGACTTAGTACCAATCAGTGTATTTTGGAGATATTTTGACTTGCCACAGTTTGCTCTGTTCTGCATTATGGAAATAAATTCTGCCTTCATCTTTCCTTCTTTTGCAAGACAAAAATAATAATATTTGCCTTCAGTGAGACCATGGTATATGCTGACACACTTAACCAAAAGCAAATGAGAAGCTGAAATTTTTATTTACTTTGAGACCTTTAAATAGCTCATGATAACTCTGAACTGGCTTTTCCACCTTTATATCTCAAATATAAAAATCAAGCAATTAATCTTTCTGTCTGCTTTATGTCTAAGTAAAATTTCTCCATTGGTTTCATTTCAGTAGATCCAGAGATAGAGCACTACAGAAGACAGTTTAAGCCTGTTAGAATTCTTGGCCTTTTCATATTTACTTGACTGTCAAGATATAAATCAACGTTTTAATTCTTTTGCTAAGATCAGGACAAGCTTAATTCAAAACAGAACTGCGTTTAGACTTATACTGCTGCCTCATTTAATTTGTTCATTTTGAGGGTTCATATTTTGGTCATCAATGGTTTTAGAAGTTGACTCTATTGGTAACACATTAATTCAAGGGGAATTTAAATAACATCAAGAGGCGTATTTTCCACATGGATGAATAATCAAATATATTCCTTCAGAAACTAGACATGTGGGAAATAGAAGCACAGCATATGAAATACCTTAATAGGTCACTCTTTATTCCAAATAAAAGCCTGAATTCGAGAAGTTCAGTACCCGGCCCTATCTATTTTGCAAATACATCCTACTCAAGCTACCTTTACTTAATTTATTTCCTTCCTGAGCTGTGCATTCTTAAACTGTTTTAGCAACTTTGAAGTGTAATTGGGTCCTAATTGGGCTCACTGGGTTATTTTCCAAATGTATTTCTTCTGAAAAACAAGGCTGCATATTTTTTATAACAGATTTCCAGATTTTCCCCTTGCTTTTTCTTCCTCCATTTGTTCCACATTTTCACTCCGAAGCAGAATACAAATATAACATAATCCTTGATCTTGATCTGGAGCAAAACTACCAACTAGCAACGTTTGGTTCTATGTATGTAAATCTTTCCTAATGTGTGTCCTATTGCAAAATATGCACTCTTTGCATTTTCTTTTTCCAAAAAAACTTGTGCATTTCTTTTCTGAATTCTCTCAGTACTTTGAAGCCACCTTACCTGGCTGGTAGACAGAGGGCTTTATGCTGGCAGTAGTAACAACTCTCATTTTGGAAGTAGCAGAAGCAGCAGGACTTTCACCATAGCTTCCAGAAAGTGACACTGGTGTGTATGACTGGCTTGTATTTCTAAAAGCAAAATGAAGGTATGAGCAACTTTACAAATGCCAAAAGTTACTGATAGTGAAATAATAGATGTGGCAGCTTCCAAAGCCCTTGGAGAGGAACCATCCTTGAGAGCTAAGGAGAGAATATAATGAGATTCGTTAGTTGTTGCCATTGCTAAGAAAGGCTGAGACAATTCTTTGGAAAGAAAAATTAGCCAAATAAGGATTTTGAATAATGCCAAGTTGCTCTTATCACAGAAAATAGCTTATTGAAGGAATATGAGAAATTTATTAAAGGAATTCTCAGTTTAACAAGGGATCAGACTTCAGGAATATGCATACAAAGTTTGGGTTTTCCGTCCCTCTACTAAAAATAGGCCTGTTCTTGTGTAAGATAAAACAACGAGGGATATCTCGTTGACTTACCAAGATACTGGCTCAGCACAATTACTGCTACTACAAATACTAACTACTGTTTATAAGCATTGTAGTCTTTTCAGAAAGATTGTAGCTGTCTTTAAAAAAACATTTCTGAAACTAACCCTTTTCCTCGTTTAACTGAAAACACAATTTACAATAATTTTTCTAATGTTTAGATTCAGCTAACCCAAAAGCAGATGACATGCAATATTATGATGCACTTTCTGCATTCATAGATTAAAAACATTTGCTCAGGATTCCAAACATCAATAACAAATAGCTTTTCTCTATTTTACAGCTCAGATAGTGATTCTCAGTTTGACCAAAGTAACACATTGAAATATATGCCTCTTCTATTTGCCTGTTACTTAGGATGATTCTATCTGTAGTGACTTTGCTTCACAGACCACTAAAAGAGCATTATGAACAAAGCAAGCAAGAAAGAATGAAGAAGTACAAGGGAGAGAAGCAACAGATACTGAGATGCTTGCAGTAATAAAAAACATTCACTGCTGAACATCATTCTTACTCACCATGAAAACATACTTCTACTTTCTTTTTCCCTTCAGTTTCACTATCTGTATGAACCAAACCCCTACCCATTTGTGCTGACAGTTTAGGAGTCATTTCCATAGTGGCTTTGTCTATAGGAAAACAGTTATCAGCATAAGAAAAGAACCATCCAGCTTTGCCAGACTATCTTGACTTGTACGTTCTTCAGCAGTGGAAATAGATGCCATGTGGAGAATTCTTACATATGGCAAACCTAACAAATTCCTTCCAGTCCTGGTAAAAAACATTCTGACACATGTAAATGATTTTTAATTTTGAGCAAAACAAACCTATCCTCACAACATAGCTTCTTGCTACTCTGACAGTGCTTATACTATAGATCTAGTTTGCATAGCATTACTGCCTCAGGCTGATTTATTTTGTCTATTTAGTTAGACCTAGAAACATAGCTATTGCTACCATAACTACAACTAATTATTTCTGTACTTAATCTAGGGCTTACGGCTATACGAGTGAACTGTACCATGCGTGAACAGGACTCTCCCAAGATAAACTGGTTTAGTGGTTTGTATTCACTGTAGATACTGTTGTGAACTATGCTGTGATTTTGTGACCACCAAAGCTGTTCTAAGCACAGTAAGACTTTTTACTTTCCATTCTTACCATCTATTTCCTGTTGATGCCTCCTCACCTGTAGTACGTAAGACTGCACTGTACTTGGGGTCACTGGACAGAGGATCATTGCTCCTGCTGTAGCACAGACAGGAAGTTGTACACTTCAGGTACATTGGCTTCACTCACAGCTTTCAAAATGCCTTTAGCTAAACACATACTATCAAATACTTTTCCTTGTTTTGAAATCTACTATTCAAGGTAAACTAGACAGAAAACCAGTAAAACATACTTACCTTTACAGGATCAGTGATCAATATTTACAATGTGGATTAAATGATTTTACATCATATGTCACATAGCCTTAATCTGAAAATGGCGTACACTCAGGAAAGCCTACTTCCAGATGTGCAGGTCCATTGGTAGAAAGACTCATTTGAAGCTTTCTTAATGTACAAAATACATAAAGAAGTTCTGAGACAAATGATTGATACTTAGACTGTCATGAAGAAAAATGGTTATTCAAAATTCAAGTGCTTCCCAAAGTTAATAGCATGGTAAAACCACGACGCTTGTATATTCAGGGAAATACAGTTGAAAAAACAAAGAACAACACACATAACCCCCCACCCCCACCCACCC